AACCTGAACACAGCTAGGCCTTTCTGACAGTAAGATGAAGCAGAAAATAATTTAAATTACAGTATCTGAATGCTTTTACCCGCCCTGTGCATAATTACAATTATTTGCAATGCTTATTGACATTGCTAAGCTTGCCCATGCTAGCCACTGTATTGTTTAAAGGCAGCACTGGTTCTCAAAAGAAGGTACTGGATGTTCTGTAAGGGAACTGATTGAATACACTGCTGATAAGTGATCATATATCAGCAAACACTTGTGATGGGTGCCCACGTACGAGGGAATTAAACCAGGAACGCAGTCAACAGGAATGTAGGGCGAAGATGATATCCTTCACTGGCCGTGCGCAGAAGTATCGTTATATTTCAAATTAAATTCACATGTATCTGGCCTGCTCCGGCAGACAAAGGAGCCCCTTGGCGCAGAGTCCAGCAGGGGGAGTCGGGCACCCGTCACCGCCGCCTCTGGCCACCGCGGGCAAGCCCCCGGGCCACCGCGGGCAAGCCCTGCTGCAGCCAGGAAGGCCACACCGGGGCACTTTCGGTTCCTTCGTCTACGTGCCAGCTCAGTTTAGACCTGCGACTCGCGTCAACTACCCTACAGAAAGGCTAAGGTACTGGTCTGATGATTTCACAACACTAAATACGACTTCTATTGAAAAATTCCCAAAGTCGTGAAATCTTTTACAGCACCGCACACACATTTGAACAACTTCACAAGTTACATAATTATTTCAAAATATTCTACCTTTGTAAACTTTACAGTCAATTCAATGTTTTGTATAAACTTGAGAACATCTTGAAGCAAAGCAGCTGAGCCTTCCTGTTAAAATTACTTCTATTAAACTATTTAGTATCTTCTATAACTGCACTACAATTTTTGTGCAAGGATTTTTTTTTTAAAAAATTACTGATACTGTGTTAATCTAGTTAATGTCCCAAATAACACATCCATGTTACTAAAAACGTCAGTATTAACAACAGATGTCCTTCTTTTGGTAGACATCTGAAAATGCAGCACTGTTACCAACATATTTTCCCATCCCAAGCAATACCCTGAAATCTTTGTCAAACTTTCTTGCTTTCATCATTGCTCAGCTCATCGCACAAACCATCTGCATAAATAAAGATGTAAGCATCTGCTGTATGGCAAACAGTCTCAGGGGCAGATGTTTTTATCCTTGCATTCATGTCACTGGCTTGGATACATTATTTGAACAGATGTACACAATCTGAAAGTGTCATGTCCCACAGTGAAATGTCTCCAACTGCTTTCTATCAAAGTACATAAATGCTATTTGCACCTGCATTTATGTTAATGATATAAAGGCAGCAGGGGTTCCAGCAAAGTGAGAGTTGATGCTAAGAAACACATTTACATGGCTAATTGAAGTTTGAGGTCTCCCAGCATCAAATGACCATACTTACATGGATACAAAATGTACTAAACTCTACAATGACTTTTTAAAAAACTGTTTTTTAAAAAAATAAAATAAAAATACCCAAGGATCAAAACTGTGATTTCAGTCTGTAATACTTTTCCAATGTATATTTTAAAGAGACAAAAATAAATCCCTAGATGAACCAAGACAGCCTTAGATTTTGCACAGTAATTGTATAAGATACACAATTTTTTTCATGTTAAGAGTCGTTTAACAAAAACGTTTAATAAATCTGACAGTGCCACTCATCCAAAGGTATTTCAGTTCTCTAAGGCACACTGGTGTTTTATGTCATTATGGAGCACTAGAAAAAAACCCAGCACTTGCTCAACAGCAAATGCTAACATGAGTGTGAATGACAGAATATGATGTTTCAATGATAATTTCATAATTCCTAGGAAAAAATTTAAATCTTAGAAGTGAAATATTATTATTCAGAAAAGTGCATCTATTTGAAGATGGAGTTACAATTGCTTGTTATATAAATGATAATCACCTTTCTTATAAAATATTTTAAACTGAGAAAAATACAGATGCCCTGAAGGAGTAAGTATCAAATTACAGAACTTCTGCTATTACATGACAAATGGTAGCAGTGAAGGCTTTATGTTGTTACTCAAAGAACTTGCACTAACCTTTACTTCATACTCAACTGAAAAATAACAAGCACTTTCAAAGTATAAAAAGACTGACAAAAATGCTATACTGAATGTAACTGACGGATAGGTTCTACTTCCAATACCATTTATTTTCAAACCTTCTATTATTAAGAAATGTATCAATGTTATAGTTGTACATAAATCATTATAAATTGCTAATAGCCTCAACATTTTCTAAGTGCCGTGACACATTTAAGAAACAAAAGTAATGCTTGATACAAGAACAAAGAAGAGTGACAGTAAAAGAATAAATATATATTCACACACACGGAAACTAGTGTATTTGTGGAATATCATGATTTCACACTGATATAGCTCTTGGTCAGGATCTGGTTATGATTTCTAACATAAACCCCCACTTCCAAATTTTACAACATGGCTCTTAAAATTCAAAAAAATCTCAAAGGAAATGCTTCACCAGTTTCAAATTTGCAAACAGCTTCACAGTCTGTATTCTCCTCCTGTGAGGAGGATACATTCAGAAGTGGCTTTAACATAAAGATAACACATTCAATTTGACTACAACAGTGGTCAAATTTCTATTATTTAAAGGAAAAAATAAATTAAGGCTTTTAAGTATTAGAATTAAGTATTTCAGTCATAAGCATGCAGACGTAGAGCATACTGCAGGGTGGATAGCTTTACACAACAGTGAGTACTGTCTCCCTTGAAAGAATAGTCCCATTAGACACAGAACTCATCAACTAAGATCAATTTGCATGACATCCTCTTGGAACAGTTTCCTCAGAATTATTACAGTATCATAAAAATACTCACTCTTCACAAAACAGGCAAAGTATAAACTTACATGACAGTAAAAGCTCAAGGCTTCAAGTTAAGTAATATATAGTGCTTTTCTTAATTAACATAAGTACTAACAATGGAAACTTAACTGACAACCTGCAATGGTTCTGAAAGGTCCATCAGAGCTTATGTCATATCCATCAAACATTCACTCACATTTAAGAAGTATTATTAAAAATTACATTCAAGTTAAAAAATCACATTTAAACATTAGCATTGTGACACAGATCAAAAGGGAAAGGAAATTAAAGTTACGGCTGCACATTTAAAGGCTTGGGAATACACAACTGCAGCACAAATACCCTTACTAATAATGGAGAGAAAAATTCAAGATGCTAACACTACTGAAAACTAAATCAATGTAAGATGACTTCTGAAGAGACAAAACATAGAGGAAATATAGTTAAACACAAAAAATGTTAGTAAGGATAGGAATGTTGGAGAAAAGGCACTTAAAATCTAGAAGTCTAAATTTATATTTAAAAATATTGATTTTCTTGTTTGTGCCAGTCTTGTAGCATAACTTGTAAATAGATTTGACCCCCAATTATATGGGGATCAACTGTGACAATGATTTTGAGATATATGAAGATAAAAAAATTGCAATAAAGCCTGAATACTTATTTCTAGTGAATCAAATGAGAAGCCGATATATGTACTTGAGATTTCAACTATAGGTGGTAACAGTAATTAGCAATGTCCTAAAGAAGAAACCAATCTTAGCTATTGCTATTGTTTAAAGTGATAAATGCTGCAGTATAATGGCTTCTTTTTATTAAAACCATATTAGGGTAGCATAGTAGACAAGAGTTATACAGTGATTTATTAATGATGATGACATTTCTTCCACATTTTGAATCACAAGCATCTAATTTCTCAAAAAAAGTATAGAAAGTATACTGTACCTGCAGAAAATGTTAAAGGATTCTGCATTATGCCCTTTAATAGTTACAACAATGTTCCTGGAAAGAAGAAATACAGATACTTAGAAGCTCTGATAATTTTCCAATTTTCCATAAACTAAAAAAAAAAAAAAAGGACAATGGCAATAGTTTTCAAAAATTATATTTCAGAATGGATCCTTGTATGCCCATACCTCATGCAAAACACCACCGAAGTGTTAAACCAAGTCTTTCTCTGATCACACATACCCTTATATGCATATTTCAACACTGGGTACAACTAACTTAGACTTCTTGTAATTGAAAACACACGTTAAAGCCCGAGAAGACATGTCATGAATTCTAGTGTGACAATGCATTATGGAGAATCACAGACAATGCAGTGTTAAGTAATCATTTTCCTTCAAACATCTGACTGCATGGATCCCATATAACTGACTAACAAGCAGAATCTTCCATGGATGCTACAATGAAGATACTAGCTTGCATTTGTGGGGCCAACATTACACCGCCACCTCTCCTGAATTTGACATTGGTACTTATTGCAAAATCTGATGCATAACGTTTGACATAAAATAGCATTACATCAAGTAACTTAAGAGTTGGCTATTTCTTTCCAGTGCAGTCAGTGTGTTGCTTAAGCTTTGGTCAAGTGTGATTCAACAGTCAAGAAAGACATAGTGTAATATAATGACAATATAAAATTTTGTTATTATCCACTTGGATTTTCTTTATCATAAAATGATCTAGCTTTTCAAACAGCTGTGTAATAGTTCAGTTCGCCTGAACACCACTAACATGTTAAAAGTCACACAGGGTATAAAACTCTTGTTCTCCTGATGCAGTTGGAGGCTTTGGGAAGGTAACAGACAAGTCCGTTGATCAGCACAGATGGAACTCCAATGACTTGGGGGTTTACTTGGATCTAGGCTTTCATACCAGTGCATATCTATAACATTTCCCATGAGCAGAGCCAGCTGTGCAGATGTGGAGTTTGCTTACTTTCCTGGCCAATTTAACAGATGGTAGAATCTTACACAAAGAACATTCCAGATATGCACTCAAGAGCCCCCTTCTGGGAACATGAAGTACCAAAAGACTGGTTTTGGATAAATACAAAAGTAGTTAGGACAAATTCTGATGCAATTACCAACCACAAAAATAAGTCATGAGTATGTTTCTTTACTATCATGCAACTGACTCTCAAAAAGCAACGGAGAGGTTCCAGGAAGGAGATGATTCTGGGGGCAGCAGTAAAGTATAAAAGAGGCAAAACCAATTCCATTTCCGGGAAGTTCAATACCAAAGTGCAAAAGAAAATTGAGTGTGGCTGCTGTGAGGAGACCTCACACACTGCAAAGAGGTGAGGCTCTTTGGTACCTGTACCTTCTGTGCTGAGCCATATATAATAAGAAGCTCTTGTATGCAAACCAGCACCTCCTGGCACAGCTTTGCCGATGTGTATCAGCAGATCTCGGGCTGCCTCAAAGAGCCTCTGTCCGTGGTACTTAAGCAGTCAACCTCTGATCTGGCAGACCCAGTACACCAACGTATGTCGGCTCATCTAAACGTAGTTTTACGTTGTGGTAACATATAGACAACTCCCTCTTAATCTACAAGAATGGAACAGACCACAGTGATGTAATTTTGGAGTGGCACAACACTTCTAGGAACCAGTATGAATTTTCAACTTGTCACTGACAGTGTAAGACATCCTTCTTTAAGGCCGTATTGCTCAACAAAATCTTTTTACAGAAACAAAGTCTGAAGTTTTTCTTCCACTTTAGGATTTCCAACACTTGAAAACATACTGAAGTAGTTACAGCAATGCATATTCTTGTAAAAAACAATGTAAGAAATTATGTTCAAATGAAGGGTCTCAAAATTATTATTCAGAAGTCACATTTTTATAGGTTTTATGGTCCCTCCCAGTTGTAGGGAGCATTAAATAATTTAAAAGGGTGACCCACTTATGGTTACTACTTCCTCTTAGAATTATAGCAAACAAACCAGACTTCAGGATACAGATCAATAATTCTTAGAATACCATGTGGAAACACAAGCTCCACATCTTCTTCCAAGCATTCACAAACCCTAACAGTAGGACAGAAAATCAGACCATATAAATCCAAACATTTAGTACAGGCATCTCTGATCTTAATTCAACCCCAACTGCAGTAAGATAATGGTCCTGATATAGAAAATCCAGTGCTTATTTGACAGAGTAGTACATTGATCAGCTACTATCAATGAAAAAAAAGAAGTATAATTTCTCAAATTAAGTTTTCATCTTCTAGCCATTCATGAATTTTTTTTTACTGTTGTTATACCAAAGAACCTTTCACTGCCCTTTATTTTTGCAGATATTCATTCAAGTAACCTTCCTTTTTGGAAAAACTGAACAGCTCAAGATTTTGAAGTCAGGGCAAGCTTCTTATCATCCGTTCAATTTTCTCTATCCATCGTTATATGTAAGACTACATTAAAGCATGTTTTCTTTGAATACAAATTTAGTTTACAAAACAAACGACGTAACTATGTGTGTCTGTCCTGTCTGCATTTTACACTATTTTTAAATTTATCAACAGCGATACTGTCTTTTTGATCACTGCCTAGTGCTAGTTGTGGAACCAGTCCCACCACAACTTCACTACAAGTATAATGATTCACGTTCCTTTCTCACTGACAGTTTCTGACATCTCTCAGCCAACTTGTAACTTGTTTAACATATAGTTAATATCTACATATATTTGATGCATATCCTAGACATAAACTGCAGTCTTATCAAAAATTTCTGAAATTCTGAATCAATGCATAGCACAGAAGTTGAAATATATGACATCTGTACAGCTACCTACACCTGCCCCGAGCAGAATTGGTTTTTTTTTTTTCATTTGACTATAAATCTGGCTCAGTATGACTACTTCCCATAAAAAACCATGCTGATGTTCAAAAAAGAGCCAACCTTAGAAATAAAATTATTAACTAAATTTTGTACATGTTTTACACTCTTACATCCAGAACAAATTTTAGGTTGGACACCACTAATAGTTCAGTATGTCCTGTTGTTTTTATGAATACTGAGGAGGTAAACATTCTTAGAGTCATCGTTGGTTATATTTGAGTCCAATAATGGTTCATTTCAAATACAGGAGATGATATTGATTATTTCTATCTGGCATTATCATCAATTTTTCTCCACCTGAGAGCCTATCCCAATGATAAAATTTTTAAAATTCTATATAAACTTAAAATCTGTTTTGCTCAGGTTGCAACTCTGCCATAGGACAACAAATAAAATCATTCAAGTCATAGTACTTGAGAACTCAAAACAGTTCTCTTGAAATCTGCTGCTGACTGGTCAAAGATGAAAAGAAATCTATTACAACCATTTCAAGTGAAGTGGAGTTGATGCTGGACAGAATTAAAAAGTAAAATTTATCTTAATCTCACAAAATAAGGTCTATCATGCCTATACTACTCCTTAAGTTACCACAGAATAAAAGGATAAATGAATTTTCAACCAGAAGAAGCAAAAACATCAAATAAACTGGAAAAAAACTACACTGTAAATTGATCTTTAATAATCAAAGGAAGCAGAGCATCTACATGTAATAATTTTAAAGCAATTTTCACAGAAAGATATCCACTGGTCTTTTATATGAAATTGGTGTCCTGATAGACAGACTGAATCTGAGTATCAGGTGAACCCAATTAACCTAATTTGATGCTTGTCCATACTAAGACATTTATTTTAGATGTTACACAAAATCTTTTAGGATACTACACAGAAAACGATAAATAGGCTGTAAAGGTTATGACATTAATTTTACTGTCATTCTCATGCTTTAAGCAGGCATCAAAACTAAAAATCTCATCCTCTAGGAAGGAAGAACTATCTGAAAGTAATTATAGTACTCATTATCATAACAGTATTAAACTAAACCACAATGACCCTAACTGAATTTATTTTTGGTATCTTTTGTTAAAAGAACAAAGCTTCTCAATGACAACTGCACCTTCTAATGCAGTGAACATTATTTCGGGTACTGGAAGAAAGCATCAAATCAAATCTTATAATTTCATATTAAGCTTAATTATGAATTTTAATTTAAAGCTAGGCATGTAAAGAAGTGTTAGTTAACTATTATTATGTAATTTCATTTCAGAAGGAAAATACTCAGCTAGAAAGAAAAATTAAATATAGTACATTTTAGAAAATACATTCTCCTAACAGAAGCCCATGAAATGTCAATTTATATTTCAAAAGCAATTCTGTTCACTTCATTTTTCACACCTGTTCTTTCACATACTGTGCCATCTTGTAAATGACAGTGCCATGCAACCACCATTTCCCAAAATTTATAAACTTTTCAACAGAAATGAAGTTCCCAAAAAGCATGAATGAATCGTATCAACATAACTTCCAGGAAAGTCAGCAAAATCCATTGGTATTTAAAGGCTGAGTTAAGACCTGAAACAAATGATTAAAATATTGAAGCTATGCAAAAATGCTGCGGAAGGTAAAAATGACAGACATAAAGATTGACTAGCGTAACACACAAAAGCATTTGTTCAAGCAAGTGTATTTGCCAAAAGCCTGCAGTGCTTGGCTACTTTATAAAATCAAGCCCAAGGCATTAAGGTCAATTTGTTTTAAAAACAAAAAACCCTCCAAAACCCCAAACTCCAATAACTACGCAATAGCTGATTTGCATTTCTGAAAACGTGCAAAAATATTCTGCATTTCACTATCCAAATCTTCAGCTGCAGAAGTCCGATTTATTCAAAATTTTCTATTTAAAATCATATTTTCACACTAGGATTTCATCCTACATCAGTAGATCCTCATCCTCCTATTCTATATCCAGAGAGATACGCACGTAGTCATAAACAACAGCTTTCTTACAAGAGAAATTACACACTGCTTATGCTTCCCTACTTAGATAATTAATCAGGGAGAAATGTGTGTCCATGGCAGAATTCTTTTGGCTGAGCCCATTAGGTGACTTCAGCAGACAGCCAAAAAGA